CGCAAACATTTAATTATTTTCATAAATAATAAAAATTTTACAGGAATTTAATTATTTACACATTTTTTATAAATTTGTTTGCAATAATTCAATTATTTTCATAAATAATAAAATTTTTTTTAAGGAATTCAATTATTTAAAAAAAAAAATGATTAAAAATTCTACAAAATAATAATTGAATTGAAATGATGAAAATAATTTTGAAGAATTTACAATAACAATATTATTATAATATAAAATAATGATTTTATCACTCGTAATTATTAATTTATTATAAAACATGAAGATATCGATCATTCAGAGTCTTCGACTCGGAGCAATCGATATCTTTATGTTTTATAACAAAACTTTTATAAGTTATTGATGTTTTTGAATAATTTTGCAATTAAAGAAATTCGTAAATAAATGTAACAGAACATTTTTTTATATAACAAATTTTCTTTTACTTTCTAAACATTTAAAATAATTTTTTAACAAATTAAAAATTTTTAAAAATATTTTTATAAAAAAAAGGAGGCAAATTTTTATAATTTAGATCAGTAAAAGGAAATCTGTTATAAAAAAAGCATATTATAAACAAAATTTATTTGTGAATCATAATTTTTTAAAAGTTTTTTTATTGATGTCTTGTCCTATATAATAAATTTGATATTGTTTAACTTTTGGCATTTTCTTTAGGGCAGGAAAATGTATATAATATTTAATTAACTGAATTAAAATTTGTTAGAATAGATGATATGAAAATATTTAAAATAAAAATTATAATTTTCTTTTAAAAAAACTTAAAGTTAACAAATTAAGAACAAGTATACAAATTAGTAAATTAAGAATAACTGTATTATTTTACAGATTACATTTCTGATAAGGGAACCAGTACTGGTTTTTAAAACGTTAATTAAATGTTATATTCATTTTCCTGTGCTAAAGAAAATGAAAAAAATAAAAAATATAATTTTTTTTAAATTAAAATTTTTTTTTTTTAATTTTTTTTTTTTTTTTAAATTTTCTAATTTTAAATACTTATTATTTTACTATAAATCATGAAAAACTACGAATTTTCAAACAATATTTAAAAATAACAAAAGTATACACAAAAACTAACTTCAAAGTGTAGATAGAATGAAAGAATGGAATACGAAGATTATTAAAGTTAATTATTAGTACAAATGCCCACCTGCCATTCTGAATATTTAATTGAATTCGTTGCGAATAATAATACGTAGTAAATATTTATCGGCATTTAAGTAATGCCAACATAAGGAAAAGCGGGTAAAATAATAATTTTCACAAAGCGGATATTTGCAGAGATATTTGAAAAGCGAATGTAATTGTTGATCGAGAGTTGTGGATTTAGAGTATTTACTTTAATTAAAGCTCTATAGTTGAACGGGATGATTAAGAACATTTATAGCTTTAGTTACTGGTAATTTCGAGAGTCTAGCGAGAAAGAGAGCGAGAGAGTGTGAGAATGAGAGAAGCGAACGAGAAACGGAAAAGATCCTCCCTGTCAGATATGATTCTCTCTTTGGTGTACTGTTATCACTATTATTACCTTCTTATCACGCCTCAGCGTATTATAAACCTACTGCGAAGGCTCTCTCTTATTGCTGTCTCTCGTATTGTTGTCCTTTAGTTGCTGAACTAAAGTTGTTTTAGTATTATATATTATATACAGAGACTTAATCCCATAACGAGTATATTTCTCCCGCCAAGAAAGAAAACAAAATTTTTAAAACAAAAACCTTACGTTTCTTTTGTTACAAAGGTATTATATTGTATATATAAAAAAGAACCTGAAGGTACATTTAATTTACAGTATATATTCAATATTCGGGAGTATTATTCGTTATTAAATAGAAATTCTCTTCGTAGCATGTGTAAGCTTCCAAAGAGGGACGACGCTTATATATATAGAAGGCAGGATTCTCAATGTATATGAATTTGAACATGGGAACTCAGGGAATATCAAATACTTTGTTCATGTACTGGAAATTCTGTTGCTAAATTTTCATTTAATTCCACCACGTTTGTATACAATAAAATTACATTTTCATTATTTATGGTGATTTATTCAGTTCACGATAAACATAACTTGAAATTATGAATTTTATTTCATTTTCTCCACATAATTTTAGATATATTAAATTAAAATTTCATCAAACAATTATTTGGTATATTTTAATAAAATTTCTATAAATTGACGTTAATTACATAATCTCCACATACTATTTCTACTGGCAATAATAAAGAAATGTATTTGCATCACACATTGTTATTTTAAAATTATTATTAAATAGCAACAAGTTGATACCAAAAATTGTGGCTCAAATAAACAAATTGATAGTAATTTTTAGTCTTAATTTGATACATTTTAGTTTCAACTTGATACTTTTAAGAAAACTGTGGCAATAAACTATGAGGTATTAAAAAGCGTTGCAGCTTAAATTAACAATAAATAAGAATAAATTAATCAATTTTCGAATTTTCTGTGCTTTCAAAGTATTTTCGATGCTTAAAATAATAACTTGTTTTACTCAAAATTTACACGATTAACTAGAAGCAACTTTCATGAACTAAAATGTCTGACCCAAAGAGTTTAATACTACTTAAAACTATTAACTGTTTAGTTAAACTAAACTGTTAGTTTAACTAAACAGTTTTTTTCTTCTACTTAAAAAAGTGTTTTGTTTGGAAACAAAAATTTGCATATCAGACCAAAGAACAATTGTTATTTGTTTGTTGAAAAAAAAACTTTTTATAATTAAAATATCTGACTAATCAATTTTCATTCTACTTGAAAGTCTAACCAAAAATTAAACTACTCCAAAATGTTAACTCTAATTAAAAAAATTTGATTCTACTTACAGATAAAATCGTTTAGTTTGTCAACAGAATTTTCTTCTTAAAATTTACATGTCTGACTGAACAATTCTGATCTACTTGATTGTTATTTGAGAATAACTTTAAAAATTAAATTAAAAACTTTAATACTACTTAAAAATATTCTGCGTGATTAAAAAATTTTGTTTTATTTATAAATATAAATGTTTATTTTTTTAAACAAATTTTCGTCTTAAAATTTCTTGTCTGTACAAACAATTTTGATCTACTTGAACGTTTGACGAAAAATATACAATAATGCAAAAATATTGTTTGCCTAATTATAACATTTTGTTAAAAAAATTTTGTTAAAAAAATTTTGTTAAAAAAAAATTTTGTTTTTTTTTCAAACAAAAATTTATGTTTAAAATTTACATGTCTGACCAAACAAGTTTGATCTACTTGAACGTCTGACCATACAAGTATAATTCTACTTAAAAATGTTTTGTGTTACCAGATTTTTAAAAATTAATTTTAAAATTTAGTTCTACTTTAGAGAAAATTATTACGTTTGTCAACAAAATTTTCTTTTTATAATTGACAAGACTCACTCTACATTTTTGATCTACTTGAGTGTCTGACAATAAATGTTTAGTTCTACTGAAAATGATTTAATCAATTAAAAAAATTTTTCCTACTCACAGATAAAGTGTTTTATTTGTCAACAAAAATTTCCATTTAAAATTTAGATATCTAATCAAAATTCTAATCTACTTGAATGTCTGACTAAAAAAGTTTAATTCTACTTAAAAATATTCTGTCTAATTAAAAAATTCTAGAAAAGATAAAACTGCTTTGTTTAGAAACAAAATTTTCTTCTTCAAATTTACATGTCTGACCAAACATTTTGTATCTACTGGGAAGTCTGACCATACAAGTATAATTCTACTTAAAAATGTTCTGTGTAACGAAATTTTTTTAATTAATTTTAAAATTTGGTTCTACTCGTAGAAAAAATTATTAAATTTATCAACAAAATTTCTATTTAAAATTTTGATATCTAATTAAAATTCTAATCTACTTGAATGTCTGACTAAAAAAGTTTAATTCTACTTAAAAATATTCTGTATAATGAAAAAATTCTAGAAAATATATAACATCATAAGATAAAACTGCTTTGTTCAGAAACAAAATTTTCTGCTGTAAATTTACATGTCTGACCAAACATTTTTAATCTACTGGAAAGTCTGATTAAAAAAAGTTTAATATTTCTTAAAAATGTTCTGTGAAAATAAATTTTTTTAATTATTTAAAAATTTGATTCTACTTAAGAGAAAATTATTTCGTTTTCAACAAAACTTTCTTTTTATAATTGACATGTCTCCCTAAACACTTTTGATCTACTTGAATGTCTGACAATAAATGTTTAGTTCTACTTAAAATGTCCTACTCAATTAAAAAAAATTTCCCACCTTCAGAAAAATTTGTCAACAAAAATATCTATTTAAAATTTGGATATCTAATCAAAATTCTAATCTACTTGAAGGTCTGACTAAAAAAGTTCAATTCTACTTAAAAATATTCTGTCTAATTAAAAAATTCTATAAAATATATAAGAAAAAAATACAAAATATCATAAGATAAAATTGCTTTGTTTGGAAACAAAATTTTGTTTTTTAAAATTGACATGTCTGACCAAAAAATTTTGATCTACTTAAAAAAATTCTGAAAAAAGTTGAATATTATTTTAAAAAGTTGTATATATTTTTTAATTTATTAAATATTTAATTTATTTTACATGTTAAGTATATATTTTTCACGGACAATTAGTTTTCTACTAAACATAATTTTTTTACTTATTTAAATATATAAATAAAAATATTAAAAACAAAGCAACTTATGCGTAAACTAATTTTCGAGAATAATTAATTTGTCTTCGAAATTTAAATTTAAACAAACAAAATAAATAAATAAAATTTACTCTTTTAAAATGAGAAAGAAAAACTTTAAAATAAAAGATAAAAACTTGAGTTTTATAGAGTCTGTAAACTTAAATTCTAAATTATGAAAATTTATGAAGAAAAACTTTTATAGCCAATAGAGAAAAAAGTGAGACGAATTGAAGTTGAAATCATTTAAAGATTAAGTGGCTGATTGATTGCATTTGATTTTTGTTAAAGATACCACAAGTCAGCTATGCATCAACGAGTACTGAACTCTCGGATAAGAGTCGTTTCGAGTATTTTAGTCGAGTCGTTCCTCCTGATAATTTTCAAGCTCAAGCGATCGTTGAGGTGGTGCATGAACTCGGCTGGAAATACGTCTCCACTGTTGCAGTTGAGGGTGATTATGGGGAGAAGGTGAGTTTGGGGTGAGTAAGACGTCGTCCACAAATTACCTCACGTCTTTGATAAAAAAAAAAGAAAAGAAAAGAAAAGAAAAGAAAAAAAAATAATATTAAAAAGTAAGAGAGAAATAGTGATGAGAAAAAGACCCCCTTTTTCGATATTTATCTTTTCTTCAGTAATAAGAAATTCTCCTCTAGAATTTTAAAACACTTTTCAAAATTAGTTCTTCTAAAAGACAAAATGCGAAGAATATAAATTTAATAAAAAAAAAATTAATTTTTAAACTTTCCACTATGAGAAAGGTTATTCAGTGTGACTTAGCATTATTAATTTTATCTTCTCGAGTTTTATATATGGGCAATTCCACGTGAGATTTCAGTCGACCTCTTAAAATCGGCCAAAAATATTTTTTTTCTATTCTGTGTTGAAAAAAAACAGATACGTATTTTTTTATTATTTTTTTGGAGGCCAAATTTTTGAGTTATGAATTTTCAAAATTTTCGCTTTTTAAATGTAGGTATATTTTTAATGTCAGATAACTCAAAAAATATTGCTTCTTTTCATTTTTTGACAAGAAAAAAAAAGTTTTGTTTTTCTCTCTACTTTTGAATAATCACAACAAAAAAATTTTTTTTTCATTTTCTATTAAAAAAATAAAAAAATTTTATAAACAAATTAATTTTTTTTAACTTTGGGTATGATAAATTTTTAATTTTCTTTTTTTAAAACATACCTGGAAATGATAAGAAGGTTTTGCAAAAAGTTTCAGAGTGGGCCTGACAAGTTTGATGGGTCCAAAAAAATAATTAAGCTGTCCGTGCAGGTCGCACGCACGTGGCACAATGGGATTTATTTACAATTTATTATTAAGAATTGTTTAGAGCCTAAAAATTCAATAATAATCAAAATCCGATAAAATTTGTAGTTTCTAGACAATTTTTAATAATAAATTGTAAAAAAATCCCATTGTGCCACGTGCGTGCGACCTGCACGGACAGCTTAAATATTTTTTTGGACCCATCAAACTTGTCAGGCCCACTCTGAAACTTTTTGCAAAACCTTCTTATCATTTCCAGGTATGTTTTAAAAAAAGAAAATTAAAAATTTATCATACCCAAAGTAAAAAAAAATTAATTTGTTTATAAAATTTTTTTATTTTTTTAATAAAAAACAAAAAAAAATTTTTTTGTTATGATTATTCAAAAGTAGAGAGAAAAACAAAACTTTTTTTTTCTTGTCGAAAAATGAAAAGAAGCAATATTTTTTGAGTTATCTGACATTAAAAATATACCTACATTTAAAAAGCGAAAATTTTGAAAATTCATAACTTAAAAATTTGGCCTCTAAAAAAATAATAAAAAAATACGTATCTGTTTTTTTTCAATACAGAATAGAAAAAAAATATTTTTGGCCGATTTTAAGAGGTCGACTGAAATCTCACGTGGAATTGCCCATATATACCAAAATTAAGATTTTAATCCCTGAAAATTTAGACAATTTCTGGAAATAAAAAAAGTAAATTCATTTTACTGTCTTTAGTAGAATTAAAAAATTTTTTTTTATAAAATCCTTTTATTTTTTAATTCTTTTGTTATTGTTTATGATACCTTTCCTGTTTTTACTTTCGAATTTTTTTTTATTTCCTACTTCTCTCAAATTTCCTTTCATACAAAAAAAGCAATTTTGTATTTTATTCATTCCTTTTCGTTTTGATTCCTCTTTTGTATTTTTTTCAAAAGATTTAAAGGAACAATTTTTTAAACACTTCTTTTGCTATAAGCGAAAATAATTTATTACTTTCTTTTTTTTATATCTCTTTTTTTTAAATGTTCGCTATCAACTTTCTCGATAATTGAAATTAATAATTTCTCAAAACTTTTTTATATTTTTCACATTTTTCCCCACTTTTTTTACATTCTCATTTTTCTTATTGCTTTTTAGAACTTGAAGTTTTATTATAAAAAGAAGAAAAAGAAAAAAAAAGTAAATTGAGTTTTAAAATTTTAATGACCCTGTAATAAAGTTTGCGATGTCATTTGTGGACGACCGATGAAAAAAATGTGGTTCAATATTTTCTTTGTTGTATTAATGAAATTTATTTTTACTTTTTCAATATAATTTATAAAAATTAATATTTATTAAATAACATATAAATAATAAATATTTCTTAATATATTTCAGTACTTCAAAAATATATTTAATAAATATTAATATTTATTATTATTTTTTAAATTCTATGTTATAAAAATAATAAAATAATTTTAATAAAATAAATAAATAAATAACTCTTAATAAAAGTGTGTATTAATATAAATTACATAAACAAATAAAATATACTCACCTAATTAGTTATTACTATAAAAATTATTAATTAAAATTTACTCTAGTCTTCCAAGAAATAATTTAATCAAGCAGCGATTATATATATATACAGTTTGATGAATATAATAATCGTTAAATTGAAAGTGATTAATTTTTCTGATTGAATTTAATTTTCGATTCACTCCAATCTCTATTTCAATGATTTCGTCTGCTATTGATTTCTCAGAAAGTAATTATAGACCGTTTGAATACGAGAATCCTAACTCCGTTAGTTGTCAACACTAAGGTACTAATCGATCAATTATGCTCGTTTGCTAATTTACTTAATTGGACGTCTGCGACAGATCGACTGCGTTTGATTCGTTAAGTACAAAATTTACAATTCGATTGTACATAATAAATTTACAGACTCACTGAAAATTTGAATTTTGTCATTTTGAATGAATATTATTTCACTATAGAAATTGGAAATAATTTAGAAAATCAATTTGACTAATTTTTTTTAAATTTGACTAATAATATTTTTATTGGAAAAATGTTATTTAATTACTGTTTTTTAATAGAATTTTAATTGTTTTTCCCTTCTAAGATTGTAAGGAAACGTATTATATATTTCTGTGAGTTTAAATTTATTTATTAGATTATTTTTTACCCTCTGAATCTGTATTTGGAGTTTTCTACTAATTAAAGATTTTAATGAAAACTTTTTTTAAATTAAAATTCTATTTAATAATTTTATAATCTCTAAAGACAAATTTCATGTCAGATTCGAATTAAGCAATTCCAAAAATCACTGAATTCAATTCGATTTTTTTTAAAAAAAGGGGCAATTTTAAAATATTTATTACACAACTTTTGTTGGCGATAATATTCAGAAATTTTTTTCTAATCGAAAACTTTACTTTTATGCTGCGATAAATATACATATTTCCCTGAACGCATATGATTTAAAAAGGTTATAATAATAGACTTTAGTGATATGAAAAAAGAATCATGGGTAGTAAAATGGAAAGTAAGAAAAAGAGTAATAAAAGATGTAAGTTGCAGTAACGGAAGTAATAAAAGCAGCATTACACAAATTTGAGTATAGTTTTTCATAAATTCACTTTATGATGATCAGGTAATGAAAAATGTTTCTGTAAAAAAAGAAAAGAAACAAAATTTTTTTTTATTATTACAGTTTTGAAAGTGAAATAATATACGTGTGTACACTATTCATATTTAGTTTATTGTTTTTGATGCGACTTGTGTTTATAGTACCTATATATATATGCGAATTTATACGGACCGAATTTATTGGTCGATAAGCATAGCAAAACGTAAATCCTTATGAACAATTGCAACCGTTTCTCATTTGGCACAAAAAAGCCTTATATCCATTTTCTGCTCCAGGCATTAAAATCCACTAGTGTTCTCTCATTGTTACTGAAATACAATGTTCTTCTCATTTAATAATCAAAATTATCTTTCTAGATAACATTTAAGTATATAAATAGAGAGATTGCTTGTAAAAAAAACAATAAAATACTACTTAATTTCAAAAGAATTTATCGTCAAATTTTCTGTGCAGCTGCTGTTTATTATTAATAATTCACAATCGCTTCTTTAAAATTTATTACAAGCGAAAAGAAAAATTTTCGTTGAAATAATTAAATATTATCGTTTTATATATTAATTTATTATACTCGAGTTAATTAGCTATTAAAATTAATACTTAGCAACAATTCGAGCGCTAAACCTCGAGGCTAACTTTTTAGGATAAAATTAGCAATTTTAAAAATAATAGAATTCAAAAATTTTTAATTCAAATTTTTGTTGAAGACACTAAAAAAATAAAACTTCGGAAAAATAACAAATAATTGCAGAAATTCAATTATTTTCAAGAGTGATAAAATTCTTCTCATAAAATTCAATTATCTTTCAAATTTAAAAAAAATTCTCGTCCAAATTCCAACTATCTTCATAATTAACAAAATTCTTCCCCAAATATCTATTATTTTAATAAAAAATTTTCCAAAAATACTTCAATTATTTAAAAAACATTTTTATAAAATTTTTTTATTAACATTCCATTTATTTTCATTTTAATAAAATTTTCATAGCAATTCAATTATTTAAAACACAATTATCATACAATTTTTCAAAAAAAGTCATATATATTTAAAACGATTTTTATAAAATTCTTCGAAAGAATTCAATTATTTTCATAAATAATAACATTTTCACAGGAATTCAATTATTTAAAACACAAATTTCAGAAAATTGTTTAAATAAAAAAATCAATTATTTAAAAATTAAAACAAAAATTTCAGAAAATTTATCAAATAAAAAAATCAATTCTTTAAAAAGATTTTTATAAAATTCTTCGCAAGAATTCAATTATTTTCATAAATAATAAAATTTGCACAGGAATTCAATTATTTAAAACACAAATTTCAAAAAATTTATCAAATAAAAAAATCAATTATTTAAAAAGATTTTTATAAAATTCTTCGCTAGAATTCAATTATTTTAATAATTAATAAAATTTTTCTCCGGAATTCAATTATTTTTAAATATTTCAATAAAATTTATTGCAAGAATTCAATTATTTTCAAAAATAACAAAAATCATCGCAGGATTTCCTTTATTTGTAAAAACAATTTTAAATGAATTCCTCAAAAAATGCAATTTTACTCTTAAATTTTATT